TCATGTCATTAGCACCTCTAGTAATATATTTACTGAGAAAAATGGTGACGTGTTCAATACTTATTTTACCCGCTGTATTAAGGATAGTGGTGTTTTCATTTATGCCCTTCAGAGACTGAAGACTCGGGTGCAGAAGAAACTGAAGCAGGTGAGTGCGGAACCTCTGTAGGCTGGGTCTCTCAAGATGAACCAGATGACAACAATGATGATGGAACAGATGAAGATGATGATGATGATGATGGAACAGATGAAGATGATGATGATGATGATGATGATGATGGAACAGATGAAGATGATGATGATGATGATGATGGAACAGATGAAGATGATGATGATGAAACAGATGAAGATGATGATGATGATGGAACAGATGAAGATGATGGAACAGATGAAGATGATGATGATGGAACAGATGAAGATGATGATGAAACAGATGAAGATGATGATGATGATGGAACAGATGAAGATGATGGAACAGATGAAGATGATGATGATGATGGAACAGATGAAGATGATGATGGATTATCAGATGATGCAGCAGCCATAGGCTCAGTGAAGGCTGCAGCTCCCTCCCCTCTAGCAGCCGCTCTCTTCCGACGGCAGCGACGAGAAGAGGCGGGGAAGAGCTCGGAGGCAGCAGTGGTCACAGTGGAACTGGTGGAGACTGCAAAAAAACCTGATGATCTCAGAGGCTGGAGCAAAGGTAGTTGTCTTAGCTGCAGACGGCGTGGAAATCTCAGCTGCTGGTGGAGAGGTTTGARCTGCAGGTGAGACCAGCATGGTGATTCAGAGGCTGTAGAGGACATGGAGATCTCACAGGTGGTAGCTGYCAGAAACGATACTGGAATTCCTGCTGCCTTCCTACGATGGTGGCGGCGAGACGAGGCTGGGGTGAGGGAAATCGGAACTCCCTCCTCAAACACAGGTGACTCAGTGGGGCGGGAACCCATCGACTTAGCCAGAACGGCACCCATTGAGTCCATGGAACTGGAACTCCTCAGCTCCATGGACGGCTCAGACGGGGCAAAAAGAGCCACACGGAGGAGTGTGCGGTCCGACAGGGCTTCTGAAAAAAWCTCCTACATGCCGGGGCAGGAGATCAGGTTGGGGAGCTGAGCGAACAAACTGATGAAATCCTCCGTTTGCCACCCACCTGACCCATACGTCCACGGAGGGTTTCCCCGCATCAATAAAAGCTCGGGTCCTCTCTTGGACCAGAAGCGTTTCCTCTGGGGGTAAACAAAAATCCTTACTGCCTGCTGGGTCCTTAGATGGTCCGATCATTCTATCAGGTCCGGAGGCAGGTTCGGACCCAAATGCAGGCAGGCAAGTAGGCATGTTCAAAAATAAAAGTATTTATTAAACAATAAACAAATAAGCCGGCGGKGCGGCAATACAAAAAACTTACAGAGAGCAGGTAAACACGAGGAAAAGCCAGAACGGGAGACCAAACAATGATCAGACGAAGGTGGAGGGAAACTGAGCAGAATATAAACAAACAGAGGTGAGTAGAAATGAAAGACAGCTGAGCTAACTAGACGGGTTTTTACGATGTAAAAACAAGTGTGCGTTGCCTTGTAGCATGTTATTGCAGCATGTCTTTACCTGCAGCATTGGACTTGCAGAATGAAATGTGACCAAGTACAAATGTGTTTTCTATACCAGCTTGTGCTTGTCACGTCAGCAGGTGTTATGAAGTTTGTAGAGATTTTCTGTTAAAGTTGTTGTTGCTGTGTTTCAAAAGCCCATGGCACTAACCATGAGACCATTGGAGCTGTGGTAGAGAACGAGACCAGGGTTTGGTATGTATGTGTGCAGAAAGA